AGAAGTATTAAGGTTATACTTCAACTTCACATATCTCTAGTTAGGATTCATTTAGATTACGCTGCTCAATTCTTTTCTCCACATTAAACACTGGACATAAACACACTGGAAAATGTATAGAGAAGTATGACAAAGTTGATCCCATGTATCAGAAATCTTCCTATGAAGACAGACTGCAGGCACTGAATTTGCACACTGGAAAAGACGTAGAATTAGAAGAGAAGAGACTGAAATGTACAAATGGAAAACGAATACATGAATGAGGTATAAAAACATGCTGAAAGTATCTAACCAAGACAGGCTCGCACCAATGGATTCTAGATGGCCAAGTTTAGATTTAGATACGATGTAGAGAAGCACTAATTTTCCAACAGAGTTGTAGATAAGTGAAACAAACTTACGGGTAGCGCTATTGTGGTGAGAACTTCGCGTAGCTTTAAATATAGGATGGGGCTATATAAGGTGTTGGGTGAGAGTTTGACTTCCCTAGCATGGGCTAATAGGCCTATAGCAGTGTTCCTTCATTTTTGTTCTTATGCAACGTAATCCCTCCTAGCATACAAACATCACGATACATAGCTTCCTTAATTGAATAATTAGGCCCCACTTAGAATAACTTTTGATAATATAACGACGACATAGTCTAACTCACTGTAAGTATACATTTCGTTGCATAATTCCTGAGATAAAATCGTACTTATAATAAACATCACGTTGCTAGCAATCATGTGATGTAAGGATTATACAACCTAATGTCCTATGAGACAAGCATATCATGCTGGCTAACTGAGAATTTAACGTCGCAACCTTTATCATCCTTTAAAGTCAACATCACAAAGCTTTAGTCACCATGAAAATATTTTTTATATACTTTATTTAAAACTTACCATGAAAATTAACATTAGTGAACTTGTCATCCTAACTCCTAGGTCATAAGAAAACATCACTTTACCAGTAACCATTACTTATAAATAATATACTGACCTTATAAAGAAAATAGAGCAGCCTTTCGTACAAGAAAATATTAAGTACTATAAAAAAAGAAACTAATCTAACCAGGAAGACTTCCTGATAAACAAAGATAGTGTAAACTAGCCTTTCAAAACCAATCAGCATGTACACTAAACTCTTAATGAGACATTCAAAACAAGCACATACATATATGCCTAATTTTAATCAAATAATAAGGATGCCAATGGAAATAAGTCACACCGTTTGACTAAGTTACTGGCTTATCCTGTGTTAAATTTGTACAGAGCACTCCCCCCCTCTCTTATATATATATTATATATTTTTTTTATTATTTTTTTGTTTATATATATTTTTAATATATTATATATATTAATATATATATATTTTAATGTATAATATATATTTATGTTTTTTATTATATATTATAAAATTATTATTTTATTTTAATATATATTATTTATATTATATTTTTATATATATATATTTATTATTTTATATATAATATAAGTATTATTTTTATTATATTTTTATATATATTATTTAAAAATAATTTATATTATTTAAAATAATTTTATATATTTTAATTATATTATATACATTATATATATATATATATTTTTACATATATATATATATATATTATTATATATATTATTATATAATATATTTAATTTAATTTTATATATTATATTATATATATTATTATATAAATATATATATTATATTATATTATATATTATATTATATATATTAATTTAAAAATTTAAAATTTTGTATATATATTATATTTTATATATTAATTATTATGAAATTTTTTTTATTATTATATAATTAAATTATATATAATAATTATAATTTTAAAATATTATATTTATATAATTATTTTTATATTTTTATTTATATTTTATATATAATTTTTAATTATATATTTAAAATATATGATTATATTAAATTTAATTTATAATTAAAAATATAATTAATAAATATATTAAATTTTATTATTATAATTATATATATATTATTATATTATTTATTTTTATATATATTATAATTTATATATATTAAATATTATATATATATTATAAAAATATATATTATATTATTATATTATATATAATATTATATATATATATAAATATATATTATTATATTTATATTAAAATAATTATATATTAATATATTATATATGTATATATTATAATATTTTATGTATATAAATTTATATTTATTATGTATATATAATTTATATATATATATATATATTATTTTTTATATAATATATTATATAATTTTAATATTATATTAATATTATATTATAATTTATATATATTTTAATATATTTTATTATAAATAATATATATATATATATATATAATATTATATAATTTATATTTTATTAAATATATAATATTTTAATATATTATATATATTAAAATTTAAAATATATTTATATAATATATATATATATAATATATTTTATATTTAAAAATATATTATTTGATTATATTTACATATAATATATTTTTATATATATAATATATATATTATAAATATATATATATATTAATAATATATATATATTTTATATATAAATATATATTATATATATAATAATTAAAATATTAGTCTATTATATATAATAATACATAACAATATTATAATATATCTTAATATATTATATATATATATATATATATTATATATACATATATATAAATATATATATAAAATATAATATATAATATATTTATAAATATATTATAAAATAATATATATATTATATATATAATATATATATTATATTATAATAATATATATATATTATTATATACATAATAATATATATTATTATAAATAATATATAATTATTTTAAAATATATTATATTTTTCATATATAATATTTTCATATAATATATATATAAAAATATTATATATTATATATATAAGAAAATATATATTTTTATCTTAATTATTTTCCATTTTTTCATTATTTTTATTATAATTTTCATTTACATATTAAAATTATAATATTATATTTTATATAAATATATATATATCTATATATTTTCAAATTTTTATAATTATATTCATATATATAATAAAATTTTAAATAAAATAAAAATATCATATATAATATATTTATTTAAAATCTTATTATAGATATTATATTATATATATTTATTACTTTAATTCAGGGTTTATTAAAAATATACTTTATTATATTATATATAGTATCTATATATATATTATATATATATTATATATATATATATATATATATTATATTATATATTATATAATATTAAAAATATTTTAAATATATTTTTAATATTTTATTTTATATTAATATTTTTTTATTTATTTAATTAAGTTATAATTTTTTAAAAAATTTTTAAAATTAATTTTAATTATTATAAAAAATTTAATTTTTAATAAATAAATAATTTTAAAAAATAAAAAATAAATTAAAAAAATTTTTTTTTTTTAAAAATATTTTTTTGGGAAATATTATAAAAATTTTCGCGTTTTATTAAGAAGGCGTGTATTTTTTAAAAATTTTTTATTTTATATATATATATAATTTTTAAATTTTTTTAATTATATTTTAATATTTTATATATATTTTATATTATATATTTTATTAAAAATTTTATAATATATATTTTTATTTTATTTAAAATATATTTTTTTATTAAATTTTTTATTTTAAATATATTTTATATTTTTTATATAATTTATTTATTTTAATATTTATTTAAAATTTTATAAATTTTTTAATTTTTTTTTTTTATATATTATTATATATATTTTTTTATTTTTAAATTATATTAAAATATATTTTAATATATAATTTTTATATTTTTATATTATATAATATTTTAATATATATTATATATTTTTATATATTTTATATATATTTTTATATATTTTTAATATATTTTATATAATATTATATATATTTATATATATAATTTATATATATTTTAAAAATTTATTTTTATAATATTTTATATAAAAAATTTTTTAATAATTAAAATTTTATAAAATTTTATTTATTTTTTTTTATAAAAAATTTTTTAAAAATAAATAATTATTTATTATTTATTTTATATATAATTTTTAATTTTTTTTAAAATTTTAAAAAATTTTTATAATTTAAAATTTATTAAATGAAAAAAATATATCTTTAAACGTATAAGAAAAAATTTCAGGAAGCAACTAATTTTAAATGAGTTCTTGCTAATTGACCAGTTTTACATATTCGGCAAGACATTATATATATATAATATATATATATATATATATATATATATATATATATATATATATATATATATATATATATTATATTATAATGTACACCCCCTCAGATTATTATTATAATCAAAAAGAAGCGCTAAGCCACAAGGGCTATACAGCACACCCCCTCAGAACCAGTGTACAAACTTTTTAGTCTGTAAAATAATTTTTATTTTTCCTGAATAAAGTTATCCTGCCTTACTAATACACAATTATCGTGTGAGAAACAAAAGTTGGGAGACTAACCTTCATAAATAGCAAAGAGTTAGTTGGAAATGGTTATGTAGCCTCACTCCAGCACTTTGACCCTGGGACCTGCAGCCCTGTCAATAATCTTTATAAAAATTCATTGTTTTCTCCTAATCATTATATTTATTCAATTTAATATTACTATATAGTGCGGCTTAGATAAGTTATAGCTTCACTGTGTATCAAAAAAAAAAAGGTAGATAATGTTTGTGCTCTTTGATTTTAAGAGGTTTTCCAGCACAGGAAAGCGGTAATCGACTTTTCTGACTAGGCTCGTCAAACTCCGCTGCAAATCACCATTTCATGTCCGTCCGAGTATTTACCTGCGCTTCCTCCCTCCGTGTGTTCCAGGATCACATGGATACAAGTATCACGTCACGAAATAACGGGGAAAAGATGAAGAAAGCCCTGGCAGCCCGCCACTCGCGTACTGTCTTCCAACACACTCCAGCTTTCATTCTGTTTACCTGTGGCTCACCTGGATCGAGAAATGTTGATTCACTCTTGCTCTGAGTTGTATGGACGAGAGTCATGGCTCTCCATGATGATTCTCGACCTTCTCGCAGCGGGCAACAAGCTCTAGTCCATGCTAGGGGAGGAGGGATGAGCCAGCAGGCAATACCTTCATAGAAAATGGTTCAGTGTGCAAAATGGTACACTGAGCTTTATTCGTAAGTCAACACTATATTATTCTTTAATAGTTATAATGAGTGACGTGATGTAAAACATAATTATAATTAAACAACAAACGCTGTAATAATAATGATAATAATAATAATAATAACTATTACTACTGCTATATCAGTATATATATATATATAATATATATATATATATATATATATATATATATATATATATATATATAATATATATATATATATATATATATATATATATATAAATATATATATATATATATAATATATATATATATATATATATATACACTGAGAGGTATCTCGCTTTATATGCGCTAATAGTTTCCTTTTTTGAGATTAAAGTATTCTTGACTAATAGCGAACAAGTGACGTGAAGACTTAATGACCTTGTGTATAGTAGATAGGCTTTAAACCCAATTAATTAATTTAACCTAAAGGTGTATATGTATCAGTGTTCATATGTTGAGACTATTTTGATCCTTTTTCTGGGATTAGTATCTTTAATTGATGTTTTAAAGGTTACCTCCAGCTTTAATGACTCATGAAGTACACAGGCTTTAAACTCAAGAAATAAACCAATGAAATATCATAAGATAAATGTTAATAATAATAGCCATTTTAGAATGAATATGAACGAAACCGAAATAGAGAAAAATAATTAATTATAAAAAACACACTCAGTTTTTTTTTTTACCTGGTGGACTCCAGGTAAACTCCAGGTAAACTCAGCGCAATCCTGACAGACTGTACACTTAACATTGAGTGAAGGAAGTGGGTACACTGCCTCTTGTTTATCCTTCATTGTTAGGTAAGACACATATGCAACAGTTAGACAACTTTATTCCGAAACGTTTCGCCTACACAGTAGGCTTCTTCAGTCGAATACAGAAAGTAGGCAGGAACAGTAGAGATGTGAAGACGATGTAATCAGTCCATCACCCTTAAAGTCGTAGAATTTGAGGTTGTCAGTCCTCGGCCTGGAGAAGTTCTCCAGGCCGAGGGACTGACAACCTCAAATTCTACGACTTTAAGGGTGATGGACTGATTACATCGTCTTCACATCTCTACTGTTCCTGCCTACTTTCTGTATTCGACTGAAGAAGCCTACTGTGTAGGCGAAACGTTTCGGAATAAAGTTGTCTAACTGTTGCATATGTGTCTTACCTAACAACCTGTCGGTATTGTATACCATTTTGATGTTTATCCTTCATTGTTTGTAAACAAGCTATCACTACGATACTTTACCAACTGATTTGTTTACCTTCGCAAATACGGTAAAACGGAGCAACTCATTAATTCATAGTTAGGCAATGGAGCAAGCCTAGTGAGCCACAGATTCATAATTAGTGGTAAAATAGAGCGCTTACAGTCAAATGCACCTGGGTTCACTCCCAAGTGAGACGAGACATCGAGCAAAACCCTGAAACACAAGAACAAGGGAATGAAAGAACACTGAAGTAGGCCTATTGGCCCATGCTAGGTTAGTCTAACTTGCACCTACTCACGAGCCCGACCAACCTAGGTTTAAAGGTACCTGTGGAAAATTGCATTTATCTGAATGTAACTAATTATGTACATAACAGTAAATGATAACAAAGATTATTATTATTTATCAATGTTACATAGACAAGTAGGAATTTGGGACACCTAGGTCGCAAAAAATGTCCCCCTTCGATACCTACCACTGTCATAACCACAAGTTGCTCTGGACCTATTAATTAAATGAAATGTACATACACCAGGAATACTGGTAAATATATAAATTTGTGGACTGTATGTTAAAAATAATAAAAGGTTATATATATATACACAATTACATAACAGAAGGAAAATATATCTTAATATCACTCACCAATTTGACTGGAGATTAATGTGTATCATACTCAGAAAACCTCACTCTAACTAAATCTATGAAAATAATGCTGGCCAGAATTACACACAAATCTAGAGAGCTTATCTGAGGTTCCTGGAGCTGTCTTGTCCAGTCGTCTGATATCTCAAGTTATGCAGGAATGCACATCCACCAATTTCGCCTCCTATTTGAGAGGTGTCAACACAATTTTAACCTCTAGAGCACGAAAAATTCTTCCCATTACACCAACGTTTGTACAAAATTCAAAACCAAGATGGCGAATCTCTTGCCCAGACGCAGGCTTTCCGTTTTCTATGACAAATATTATTAAATACAGTATATGCCATCTATTTACCTATAAATTACCGTATTTCCGGAAAATATATACAGTATTTTCCACAGTACCCATACGAGGCTACCTGGGAGTTTGCTCCACTCATCTTCAACTCTTATCCAACTAGTACTTCTCTATATAATTTCCAAATCTAAATTTCTCTAACTTGAATCCATTGCTGCAAGTTCTGTCTTGTTTAGATTTTCAACATTTTATTTATATCCCCTTCATTTATTCATGTTTACCTTTCCAAGAGAAACTAGACGTTGAGTAAGCCCTCTGGTACCTAAAGAATAAAAAGGCTCAATACCCCGACTGGAACAATACATAAATAACCTGCACACATCAGAAAAAAACTTACGATGACGTGCGGTCCGACTGGCACACACACCAAGTGCGAAGGTAGGATTAGATTTTGCCACCGAAGTGGCTAGTTTATTGTGCACCCCATATCCATCCTGTGGACGGTAGCGCAAAAGCATATGGATACACAAAAGGCCCAGGAACTAGGCCCCAAAAGGATTAACAAGTGTACATATGGGTTTTTATTTATCTACATATCTACAGTTCACTTATCTGTTACATGCAAATTTAGGAAATTTGCTTAGTATATCTGGTATCTTCTTTTCATTAATAAGATATCTTACTATTAGGCTCCAGTGACGGTCAAATACATTATCCAAGATAGAAACGAATGGGCAAATTGAATTTAAAAAAATATATAATGTTACTCATGAAAATATATAATGTACTCATGAAAGACAGACGAATGAGTGGATGTGTCATATGTTTGACTGGGACACGTGAACAGTTATAATAAGTGACAGCGGGTTGCTGCACGACTCGGTACTTGCCCCGACTCTCTTTCTAACTGATATAGATGACCATCAAGAATTAATAAAAAAATTATTAAAACATTTTTGCAGATGGTGCAAAATAAATAATAAACATTAATGCAAATACCTGCAAGACGACTTGGATATATTCAGTCAAGTGGCAGATGGGTGACGGAATTTAATACCTGGAGCCTGGAGGTTATTCCGGGGATCAACGCCCCCTCGGCCCGGTCCATGACCAGGCCTCCTGATGGATCAGGGCCTGATCAACTAGGCTGTTACTGCTGGCCGCACGCAGTCCAACGTACGAGCCACAGCCCGGCTGATCCGGCACTGACTTTAGGTATCTGTCCAGCTCTCTCTTGAAGGCAGCCAGGGGTTTATTGGCAATTCCCCTAATGCTTGATGGGAGGCTGTTGAACAGTTTTGGGCCCCGGACACTTATGGTGTTTTCTCTTAGTGTACCAATGGCGCCCCTACTTTTTATTGGGGGCATTTTGCATCGCCTGCCCAGTCTTTTACTTTCGTAGGGAGTGATTTCTGTGTGCAGATTTGGGACCATTCCTTCCAAGATTTTCCAAGTGTAGATTATGATATATCTCTCCCTCCTGCGTTCCAACGAGTACAAGTCAAGTGCTTCAAGCGTTCCCAGTAGTTAGGGTGCTGACAGACTTATAACGTGCAGTAAAGGATCTCTGTACACTCTCTAGATCTGCGATTTCACCTGCTTTGAATGGAGATGTTAATGTACAGCAGTATTCCAGCCTAGAGAGAACAAGTGATTTGAAAAGGATCATCATGGGCTTGGCATCTCTCGTTTTGAATTATTATTATTATTATAATCAAGGGGGAAGCGCTAAACCCGGAGGATTATACAGCGCCTGGGGGGGGGATATGTGGAAGGCATTCAGGCTTAATTCGGGGAACTGGAGCACAGATCCAATTCCCTAAATCAAGAGCCCCTCACCAACATCAAGGAACCTTCCTTGAGGGGTCTCGTTTTGAAGAAAAATGCCATGTAATGGAAAAGGGAGAAGCAATAGCAGGCTTCATGAATAATGCAGTCATTAAATAATGAAAGGAGTAATTGTAAACAAAGAATTATTATTGAAGAACACAGCCTAGTGAGTCATAATGACTCGTAGCTCAGTTGTAGTGCCTGAGATTCATTCTCAAAAGATTCGGGTTTAGTTCATAGAGTTTTTTTTTTTTTTATATATTTTTATTAGAAACCTTACAAAAGTATAAAGGATGCATAATAATAGTACAGGAATACAAAACATTCTTTTGTGCTACTAGTACCAGGTTATTCCTGGCGGGAACAATTATTATAACATCTTGTTATAGCAAACAATACACGCTAAGACAAACCTCACTAAAGTATAACAGTTATTAATAGTTGCCGCCAATCCATTGTACCCACAGAAAACACATCAAAATGAAACTTTACATAGTTTAACAATATAAAATGAATACCTGACATGTCCTATTACAACAAAAACATATTTTCACAACATGGCGCAGTCTGTGAGAAGGCGTGTGCACACGGTGTGCCTTGAATTGGTGCGTGGTGCAATAACGCCTCAGTCTGCCCAAGTGCTTTTACCGCAAATTATCCGTGACACCTATGGTGTTGCGGATCAAGAACTGTATGGTGTGGCGCTAAATGGTGCCTATCGTATTTTCGTCAAGTTGAAATCAGCTGGAGTGTATGAACGGCTGGTTGACAAGTACCAGGACAGGAGCGTGGACGTTAATTCAGCGATACGTGTTCTACTCATCGACGTGTCTAGGCATTACACATGGGTGAAAGTCCGAAATGTGCCATTTGAGGTGGACGAGACTGATCTGTGGAATGTATTTGAACAGTATGGACCTGTACACCTGGCTATGGCTGGTAAATG